CGCTCAAGACTTGCTCCACTGGAACATACCCATCCTTGTGATTCGCCATATGTATGCTTTGAGGCCTTTGATGACCTCGCAATCCTTTTTATACCCCGGGGAAAAGGGTCGTACATCCTGGAATGTGCCCAAAAAGTTTCCTTTAGAAAAATAGGAAAACCTTTAAGTTTAAGTACCTTTCAAGTGATATCCTGCGACTTGGAGTGCCTGGAATACCAAAACCTGAGCCGGCTTTTCATCTTTGCAACCTCTGGTGCCGCATAGATGTTGGAGAGCATCACGTACGACGACGACGTCTCCGGGTTCCTCTTCATGGCCTCCTGCGACACCCGCTTCCTGCGCTCCAAATCCCCATGCATCTGGCACGAGTTGAGTAGTGACAGCCATGGAACTCCACCCGCCTGTGGAAACCTCTTGAGAAACTCCTCGGCCTCCTCCAGCCTTCCCAGCCGGCCTAGCATATCCGTCATGCAGCTGAAGTGCTCGTCCTCCCACTCGATCCCCCTGTCCGTCTTGAGCGACACGAACTGCTTCCAGGCCTCGTCCAGCAGCCCTGCGTGTGCGCACGCGAACAGCACTCCGGTGTAAGTCACACCGTTCGGCTCCACGCCGTCCAAGTTCATGAGCTCGTACAGCTCCAGCCCCTGCTTCCCCGTTTTGAGCATATGCCACGATCATTGCGTTCCACGAGACCAGGTTGCTCAAGTCGGAGCCGTCGAAGATCTTCCGTGCTTCGTCCAGGCTCCCGCACTTGCCATACATGCTGACGAGTGCTGTGGAGACGAGCGCTCCGTTCTCCAGGCCGGCTCTCACTATCCTGTCGTGGATGGGCCTACCTTCCACTAGAGACTGCATGTCACAGCAAGCACCAACGATGGTAACGTATGATCTCGTCAGGCTCAACTCCGTCTTGCTCCATTCTCTGGTAGAGTCTGATGGCTTCGCTGTGCCCATGCTGAATGGGTTGTGTTGCCAAGCTGATCATTGTCGTTATCCCATTGCTCGGTGCAACGTTGGTTGGCATATCACGTGTTGATGGATATTAGCACCATTGTCAATGTTAACAGCGGAGAGACGTGCATGAGGAAGAAGAACTTTCTGTGTATTCAACTGTAACATGTACATAGAATTACTGTACGTGGGCATAACTACATGCCACATCATCTCTACTTCTAACACTCCCACTCACGATCAAGTGACTGATTAAAGCCTGAATCTAAGCTTGAATCGTGCCTAGCTAGTTTGAGATGATGAGCATGGAGAGTTGAAGAAAAAAACATATGAAAAAATCATCAATCAACTACCCAAAACTTGGTTTTTGGTCTTGGACTTGTTTGCACACTTTTTGCTCTTTGCTATGGCTTCAATCTTGCCATTAGCATGTAGTCTTGGCTGTGAATTGCCAGATTCCCACTTCTAAGGCACTTGAATCTCTATAAGCATCCTTTCCACTTGGAGGAAATGAAGCAAACAGGAACAATTAGTTTTTGGATCTTGACCTAATTTTTCAATCTCCCATTGCCTTTGTGTTTTGCTTGTTGCTTGTTGCTGCTTAGTGCCTCTACATGGTTTGGTTGATGCAATGCCTCAAGCATCCAATGCATCCCACAAAAGCTTCAAGCATTGCAAAAGGAATTGCAATCAAGAGGCTCATCCTCCTCCTCATCACTAGCCTCTTGCCCAGTAAGTGCCATGCCCAGGATCAAGGAGCCAATTGCTCCAATACCATGTTAGCAGCAGAGGGATGTGCACAAGGAAGAACTTTCTGTGTATCCAACTGTAACATATACATGGAATTATTGCCACGTGGGCATAATTACATGCCACATCATCTCTACCTCTAACAAACAAGACGTGTTTGCTAGTGCTATCATTCTACTTGGTTTTTTATTTTGTGCTTAATTCTATTTCATTCTACAGGCCTGACTATGGCACATATTTGCTACAGACAACACTTTCCTAGTGTGTACGATGAATACAGTAAGTTCCGATTTCCAAATGTTTGCAAACGTAGATTCTTACCGTGGCATCTCCAGGCTTTTCTCCATATCCCGAGAGATGTGCTCCGGCCGACTGGCCACCACCACGAGCCAACAGTAGCGTTAGAGATCTAGAGAACGGGAGAGATGTGGAGATCTCCAGATTATAGCTGCGACTGTGATGGGTGTATACTCTGCTGGTATGCGTTTAGGTGTACGGGTTCATGGTGACATGCATGATGATAATGTGATGGTCAGAGGCATCAGCGAGAATGGCAAAGCTGATGTTCGTTTTCTCCACTTCGATTGGGCTGCTCAAGAGCTGGATGGGGTTTATCCGCCTTTCCGATCCTGTTGGAGCTGGAGTCGTGATGCGGCAGGAGCACAATGTTGTGCTGCTATCACTCAGGAAGGATCAGCAGATCAAATTATCAACTTCTTTTTTTGAGCCCAAGCACTCTCGCTTGGTTGTAAAAGCAGTGACATGACATGCGCACTTTGCGTCACCTCAGAATTCTCTTCCTTGGGGTGGGGCTTACCGCTGCTGGATCAAAGATTCCAAATGCCACCAGAAGCGAAGTAAAAGCTTCTCCAACTTCTCCTGTAGCGCTTTCCTAAAGCAAAAGCTTTTATCCAGACAGGACTTTTTCAAACAAGATTCTGGTATATGGGCATATGCAGTGATCTAAGTTGTTTAAAAAGTTGATAATATGAACAAGAATTTATAGTCTGATTGCATTGCTTGATTCGTGGTTGTATCATTTTTCTATAATGCCCTGTTGTAGAATTTTCTTCAAATAAAGCCTCACTATATACTTCAGAAAACAGGAGGATATAGAGACAATTGTTATTTTCTTCTCAGCTTAGATTCAAATAAGAATAGAATTCAATATTTATTTCAATATCAAAAGTAACCAAGTAACTTCATAAGCATCTCATTATGATGATGCTAATTCACTAATGCTGATGGGAGAAACATCACCTGAAGTAGCACCAGTCCACCATCGATGAGCAGCCATACTATTAAATGCATCAGTTTGGTGAATACCATCCCAAAAGGCATACTTTGTTCTATCTTGACAAAGCCTAGCTCCAGAATTGCAATTCAAAGTATGGGATCCTTGTGGACAACAAGCACTGGTTGAATCAATGAATCCTGTTTATTCCCAAAATATAAAGTGTTAGATTGGTTAATTAAAAATAAAGCTTACCATAAGATTGTGGATTGTTGTGAACATCTACCATTAATCCATAAAAATTAGTCATCACAAATTGAGCATCTTTATGAGAATTTCTTAAATTCTCAAGAGCTGATTGTAGCATATTATTATATATTTGAGCTCCTTGCTGTGCAATAGATGCACATTGTCCTCCAACCACATTCAATGGAATGCATCCAACGGCACTTAATCCAACTATAACAAACTTTCTAGCACCCAAATTATATAATGTCTGAAATCAAATAAAAATCATAAAATCAAAAATAAAATTGAAAATAATAATAATCATATTTACCTGGAGTTCATTAACAAAAGTATTAATAATGGTTTGCTCATCAGATTGTGATATCCTCCTTGTTCTTTGATACATATTATTAATATCATTGTTTCCTGAGCAAATATAAAAAATAGATTTTGCAACAAGAGTAGATGCATTAGATGATCCAATCATTTGAACCATTTTTTGTTTCAAACTCCTAAATTCATCAATTTGACTTGCAAGAGCTTGTCCTCCTCCCTTTAAAATCACTAAATTATAAAGTCAAAATCAATAAAATTAATAATTTTTACCGTATGAGTTTGTGAAAGGATTCCAGAACCAGCAGAACCAAAATTTGCACCTTGAAGAATATTATTTCCAGCTTGGAAATAAGCTGGTGGTAATGGTAATCCCAAATGTAATGCTAAAAAAAAGAATTATAAAATAACATTCAATTATAAAAATAGCAAACACTTACCAATATATTCAACAAGCAAACGACCATTACAAAATCGACTTGCTTGACCTCCAGGAAAATCAATACCATAAGGATAACCAACATGAGCATTATCACCCGCATCTACTAGAGAATCCCCAAATGCAAATAAAGCTGGGACAGATGAATTCATTTGCTGAGAAAACACCCTCAAACCAGAAAACATAGCAAACACAACAAAGAAAAGAAATGCAGAAGTTGCCATGTTGCCAAGTGTAAAGACAATATTTTGTAAGACGAACCCTTCAACTTTTATACCACAAAATGTTTTAATTTTAGCGATCTATTCCAAGTAAAGAGATATTATATACACGATTACATATTATTAACAAAGTAGGCCCTTTATAAATTTGTTCTGCTGGTATGACGACTATTAACTTTTTAAAGCAAAAGTTTTTATCCTACGGTTAAAAACAAACACCTTTTTACGCAGCAGTATAAAAAAGGGTCGCACTCCTGTAACTCAAATGGCGAATCGCTACGTTTCAGTGGAGCACGTCCTCGCGCTGCTGCAAAACTCCGCGGAGATCTACCCATCGGCGCCAAGGATTTGGAAACGCTCATGGACGTGGTGGCCAACATGCTCCCCAGCAAGAGCAAGGATTTTGTGGGAGCTCCAGCCAGCGTCGTCGAGAACAAGCGACTTGATGGCGGTGCTCAGAGCTTGAAGAGGAAGGCCTTGGACTTGGAGGACTTGGACAAGGACGATCACGCGCTGCTGGAAGAGGAAAGCGCTGAAAGCTTGAAGAGGAAGGCCTTGGAGGAGGAGGAGGCGAGCACCAAGTTCACAGAATCGAGAGCTTGCAAAAGGTATAACCTCAGGAAGAAGAACAAAAAGCAGCACACGAGCGTTTGCCAGGAGTTTTTCTTGTGCAAGTGCCACTGAGTAGATCTCGCAGTGTAAAGATATCTTGAATCGAGAGAAACTTGGAGAGTTTACCCCACGATCAAACAACTTTCGTCTTTCTTGTCAGCTCTGCAATTGGAAGATTTAGCGAAACAAAGTCTTAAAACCTTGTGCGACTTTCCAGGAGAAACCTAAGCGCTTACTTTCTGTGACTGATGCTATAGAACTCGGCCAGGTAGTCGAGCGCCTCGGAGTTGTTCCTGCAAACTCTCCACAGCGCCTCCACTTCTCCCTCGGCCACAGTCCCCCACTCTCTGCACGTAGCCAGGAACTCCAGCAAGTAGTTTATCAGCAGGAACGGCACTGGGAAGCTGGAGCCGATCCGCCGCAGCTGGATCAAAGTCAGCATCTCGAAGATCTCGTCCATGCTTCCAACGCCGCCGGGCAAAGCCAGGAACGCGGTGCGATCGGGCGGAGCGTTACGTACTCCCGCATCAACGAGGCCGTGCTTTCGCGCCGAGAAGAATCTAATTGCAAGGATGGTATTCCCCTGCAGGTGAGATAAGTTCCCGAGACCATGTAAGGAATCCAAGGATGGCTCAAAGTGTTCGTCCACACACACCGCCCTCGTTGTGGATTCTAAATACTCCCACCGGCTTCCCGGCCTCGAGAGCTCCTTTGGTGGCAGCGTCCATTAATCCTGGGCCAGCTCCACACCAGGACGTGCAGTCGAGCAGCAAAGCAACCTGGGAGGAACTCGAAGAACTTAGAATCTTGCCATGATCTTAGAAACCAGGTCTGACCTCGGCTGCCCAACACTCGCATCCCTGCTTTTCTCACCTCTCGCCCGAGCTTCATGGCTTGAAGGAAGTGAGGATGGTCTGGCTTGGACACGGGCTCTGGAAGGCGAGATCTCGATGACAAATGCATCGCCCAAGTCGGGCAATCAGGCACTGTGCTGTTCGAAGAGCTCTCCAACTTACATTCAAGAGTTTGAGAGCCGGAGCAGCGCAGACGAGGTAACTCTTCCAGAGCTCGAGCGAGAGAGCTTGACATTGCTTGTTTGTGCTGTTCCAGGTGGGAAGGGAGATCTTGAGCTGCTATGATCTCGTGCAGAAGCTTGGCTGTGGAGCCGTGAATAATCCTCCTTGAAGAAAGAAGAGAACTCTCAAACTCGTCAAGAAACTCTGAAACCCGTCTATGAACAAATTGCTGGGTTAAAGACCACAAACTCTAAGCCAGCGCCCTCTTTAGTTCCCAGCAAGCAGCTGGAATTATTCTCCAAGTCTCCAGGAAAAACTCATAAGGCGACTACAAAGCCAGGATCCGCCAATTTTGGGTTGTGTGTGAAGCTTGAGTTGTTGCGTTGAGGCTGGTCTGGAGAGGACACAGTTTGGTGAAGAAGTGTCGATTAAAGAATTTCGGACCACTTGAGCACTGAAAGTTTTGATGCGGGACATGGTGAGATGGTAGTTGGGAGGAGAGAGATGATTTTGCGACATTGATTTGATCAGGAGGGCCGACTGTGCTGCTGCTCCATGGCTTCCCCGAGACGTGGTATACATGGAGGTTCCAACTCAAGGCGCTGGCGGACGCTAGATTCCACGCTGTTGCTCCAGAGTTGCGAGGCTTTGGGCTCACCGAGTGTCCCAAGAATTCATCCGGAAGGAGCCCAAGAGATGAAATCTTATCACGACTAACTGCATTTTGGAGCTGGAACAAGCGGTGGAGGAGCTTGAGCAGCAGCAGGGTGATCTGCTGGATTGGTGCTCTGGAAGCGGGCAAAACGAATCCATCGCTATTCCATTGAGTATGGAATTTTGATAAAAAACTAAAAATTTTAATTGGATTTCTGGCTGTGGATTCGAACCTATGACCATGCCAATATACTACTTTATTCTAGCCAGATATCCGGCCAACAAGTTCCCATCCAAACTAAACATTAACTGCTTCTTAATGTATCTGCTATTTTGACATTAACGGCCTCTCTCAGATTCTACTGGTGATGAAGAGTCCACAAAGACAGTGGTCTGGCATGGACTGGTGCAAGGAATAATCACAATCCGCAGATTCAGTCTCTTTGGATTTGTTCTGGCAGATGTTGATTGTGATTTTTGTTGCAGCAAACTCTGTTTGCACCAACGCCGATGCGTTCTACCCAAGATCGCGTTAGGACTGGATTTCAGTTTCTTCCAGGAGCTGGTAAATAGCATGATGATTATCATAATCATTCTTTTGATTGTGTTCTTCAGGACTGGCATTGGAGTTTTTCCTGCCTCTTTAACTTTATCTATCTCTAACCAAAGTGGTCAGTTGCATAAAGGACTAAAGCTTCACTCGGTAAAATCTTCGTTTGACCTATTCTTCTAGGGCTGCACAGATCGGCTATGGACAAGTGTGTTGCGAGCGTGCTACTGGTGGTGGTGGAAAGTGTCCCACTGGACCAAGACCTGTGCGTCGCCCTCGGCAGGCTCTACGTCGCCCAAAAGGACTGGTTCCCGGACGACGAGGCCATCCTCGCCATCATCCAGAGCGCGCCACCACTGCACACTTTTGGTGAGTTCCACCAGCTTACGGGCCAGAAGTTCCATCGCCAGCTCGCCCGGAGGCTCGCGGATCACGGCCACATAGCGGAGGTTTTGAGCATGCTGGACGAGAGATGCGACGAGCCGACGTTCACGCAGACTCTCCTCCACCACCCGTACTACGCTCTCTCGATTCTCGTTCGTTATCGTCACGTCGCCACCATGACAGCGCTGGGCTACCCGCGGGACTTCAGGCTCTTCGAGATCCCCCTTGAGATTGCGTCATATACTACATGTGAATCGCTGGAGGTGCGCAACGCTGTGAAGATGCTCTTCCGGCAAATGCTGGAGGAGCACCCGAGCAGGGCACTTGGTCGCAATGTGTATAAGGGTTTGGTCTGGTATTACACTTCCGATGACTTCAGCTTCTTGCACCTCGTCCTCGCCGAAGCGAAGGCAAAGAACGCCGACATACCGATGTACGAGATTACATTGCTTTTGCACTTCCAGCATGACCATGTTTACGACTACGAGGCAAAAGTTGACGCGGTGCTAGATCTGCACCCCATACCCGAGGAGGCATACCAGAAGCTCTTCGAATTAACCCCGGATCTGAAAGATGCCCTCTCGCTGTTGAAGCGCGCCAAGCTCGCGGGCGTGCGCCTCGACCCCAGCGCAAAGGTGGCGGCCAGCGTCGCCCAGGATTCGCTTGATGTCTATGCCATGGATCTGCTCGAGGAATCGGGGCTTCTGAGCGACGCTGCCATAGCCGGATTGGCAAACAGGGAGAATCGCCAGGCCATACTCAAGGTGGTGCTCAGGAACAAAAGGTGGTGCGCTTTCCCACAGAGTATCGAGGCCATGCTACGTGAGGGCCCAAAGATGTGGGCGTGGCTCTCGCGGGTCATGGTCAGCAAAAAGTCAAGTCAAGAGGTGGTCAAGCAGCTGCTGCGGCGGGGCCTCGTGGCCACTGCGCTGGAGCTCCTCAGTGGGAGGTGTGACGAGGGCACGTTTACCATGGTGCTGCTAGAGGCGGTAAAAATGCAGCAAAGTGAAACCATGGTAAAGAGGATTCGTAAGAAACAGGCCATGATGAAGAGCTTGGGTTACAAATGTAAGCTCAGGTTGAAGAAAGGCAAGTTTGAGCTCCAACCGTGATTTATCTCGTCACAGTTGCAAGTATGACCACATTAGAATTTAAAACCATTGTCTACATTTGTTTAGATTGTTTAACATTTTTATTAGCCTTTATATGTGATAAGAAGGAATAGTCTACAATACAATGTGTTTTCTAGCCATGCTTTACAATAGAATATTAGAACCTTAAAGATCTTGGTTGGATAACCATTGCCGTGATTGATTGTCCTGCGGGATGTTGTCGCTCAGTGGCACTGGTACATAGAGCAAAGGGTGGCAGTGTGCTGCTCGTGTGCCCTGAGATTATACTTCTTGGGCACTATTTTATTCAGCAGCCGAGGTTTCTTCGATATCCCATCCAAAAGCTTGTAATCCTCCTCCTCCTCCAAGTTTTTCGCATCGCCCACCTCTGCTTCTCTTTTCTTCTTGGGAAGTTTCTCCACAAGAGGAAAACTTGACTTGCCCTGGATCTCCTCCCCTGTTGTTCTCCTTTCCTTGCCAGAATCTCCTGGAAGGGACTCGTAGAGCAACTTGGACACCACATCCATGAGATCCATCAAATCCCTGGTGCGGATGGGTAGCCTCTCTGCCGATCGTCGCAGCTCGCTCAAGACTTGCTCCACTGGAACATACCCATCCTTGTGATTCGCCATAAGTATGCTTTGAGGCCTTTGATGACCTCGCAATCCTTTTTATACTCCGGGGGAAAAGGGTCGTACATCCTGGAATGTACCGAAAAAGTTTCCTTTAGAAAAATAGGAAAACCTTTAAGTTTAAGTACCTTTCAAGTGATATCCTGCGACTTGGAGTGCCTGGAATACCAAAACCCGAGCCTGCTTTTCATCTTTGCAACCTCTGGTGCCGCATAGATGTTGGAGAGCATCACGTACGATGACGATGTCTCCGGGTTCCTCTTCATGGCCTCCTGCGACACCCGCTTCCCGCGCTCCAAATCCCCATGCATCTGGCACGAGTTGAGCAGTGACAGCCATGGAACTCCACCCGCCTGTGGAAACCTCTTGAGAAACTCCTCGGCTTCCTCCAGCCTTCCCAGCCGGCCCAGCATATCCGTCATGCAGCTGAAGTGCTCGTCCTCCCACTCGATCCCCCTGTCCGTCTTGAGCGACACGAACTGCTTCCAGGCCTCGTCCAGCAGCCCCACGTGTGCGCACGCAAACAGCACTCCGGTGTAAGTCACGCCGTTCGGCTCCACGCCGTCCAAGTTCATGAGCTCGTACAGCTCCAGCCCCTGCTTCCCCTCCCCGTTTTGAGCATACGCCACGATCATTGCGTTCCACGAGACCAGGTTGCTCAAGTCGGAGCCGTCGAAGATCTTCCGTGCTTCGTCCAGGCTCCCGCACTTGCCATACATGCTGACGAGTGCTGTGGAGAGGAGCGCTCCGTTCTCCAGGCCGGCTCTCACTATCCTGTCGTGGACGGGCCTTCCTTCCGCTAGAGACTGCATGTCACCGCAAGCACCGACGATGGTAACGTAGGTGATCTCGTCGGGCTCAACTCCGTCTGGCTCCATTCTCTGGTAGAGTCTGATGGCTTCCTCGCTGTGCCCGTGCTGACCATACGCCGTTAAGAGCGTGTTCCATGTCACCACCGTTCTCGTTGTCATCCTGTCAAACACCGCCCGTGCGTTTTCCAAGTCTCCACACTTGCCATACATGTTGACGAGCGCAGTGGAGACGTAGACATCGGAGTCGGAGCCACTGGAAACTATCCTCTCGTGAATCTGTTTCCCCGTTCTTACTGCATCGATCCGGCTGCAAGCTTCCAGCACACTGATGTATGTCACGTCGTCGGACTTCAATCCTTCGAGGTCCATCTTGTGGTAGAGTTGCAACGCTTGCCTCTCGTGTCCGTTCTGCGCGTACGCTGCGATCATCGTCGTGCACGAGCACACATCTCTCGTCTCCATCTCCTCGAACACTCTGCGTGCGTGGGCGACGTCGCCAAGCTTTCCGTAGACGTTGACGAGATTGTTCCTCAGAACACCGGACGAGTGGAGGATACCACTGGCAGATATCCTGGAACGAATGGACTCGGCCTCGGAGCGCACTCCCAAACTGCAACAGGCACCAAGAACATTGACGTAAGTTACTTCGTCCGCCTTGACCCCTGCAAGGTCCATCTGTCTAAAAAGTTTCAGAGCTTCCATACCTTGGCCCTGTTGAGCATAAGCCGAGATAAGTGTCGTCCACGTAACCTCTGTCTTTAGCTGCATTCGATCAAACACGCGCCTCGCTCGCTCCAAGCTCTTGCATTTCGTGTACATGTTGACGACGGCGCTGTCAAGAACAGCGTCACCGACGTAGCCTGTAGCGGTGATTCGTGCGTGCAAGGCCTGACCATCGGTCAGGCTCTCCAATTCCGAGCAAGCGTCCAAAAGGCTCAGATACGTGACCCTGTTTTGCTTCACTCCTTCCAGCTCCATCTTTTTCTGAAGCCTCAGAACTTCATCCGGGTGACCATACTGCGCGTAAGCTCCCATGAGTGTGTTCCAAGTGATGATATTCCTGGAGCTAAGCCTGTCAAAGACTTGGCTGGCCTCGACCAGATTGCCAGATTTCCCGTACATGGTCACGATTGCGGTTCCCAAGACGGGCTGGTTCTCTACCCCGGAAGCAATCACGCATTCGTGGACCTGCTTTGCATAGGGGTCCTTACTGCAAGCTCCAGTTATGCCGACGAACGTCACATCGTTTGGCTTGGTACCATCTAAGAGCATTTCCTGAAAGAGCTGGATCGCATCCCTGGAGCGTTCTTCCCGTGAGTAAGCGGTGATCAGAGTGTTCCATGAGGCCTCGCTCTTTAAACTCCTGTCGAAAACGTCCCTGGCTTCTTCCAGATAACCACACCTGCTGTACATGTTTACCAGCGCGTTGCCGACGATCACATCCGAGTCGAGGCCCTCGGCCGAGAGGCGGCGATGAATTCCCCTCCCTTCGGACAAATCTTCCAAGTTGGTGCACGCTCGGAGTGTGTTAATGAAGCTCACAATGTCCGGCTTTACACCCTCGCAGTCCAGCCGATGGAAAAACTCGAGCGCTTCCCTGTTGTGACCTCTCTGAGCACAGGCTCCAATGATCGCAGTCCACGCGAACAATCCTTTGCTCTCAAGCCTCTCGAAAATCTCCCTTGCCTCCTCCAGCCCCTCGCATTTGAGATACGTGCTCACCATCGCATTCCCCAGCTCCTGCTCTAAACCGCTATCTACAAGGCAAGCATGGGCCGACCTGGCTGTGTCGAGCGACGCGCACGACGAGATCAAACAGAGAAGTATCTGCCTGTCCGGTCTCAGGCCTTCCAGCAGCAATCTCCCAAACAAACCAGCCACTGCCCACTTGTGATCCCTCTCTTGAGCTGCCGCGGCGATCACCGTCCCGAAAGAGAAAGCATTCTTGTGTTCTATCTTCTCGAAAGCCTGCCTCGCATCCTCCCAGCTCCCACACTTGGCGTACATCTCCACCAGCAGATTCCCCAGGAACGTCTCCCCCTCAAACCCGTTCTTCCGGATCTGCTCGTGCACGCACCGCCCTTCCTCGAGCGCCTGCCGATCCCTACACCGCCTGACTAAGCACGTATACCTGTACGAGCACGACGTCCCCTCCCGGAGCCTGAGCGCCTCCTCCACATCCCAGGCATTGCCGCCATCGCCGGAATACTCGTGTAGCCGCCGATGCAACACACTCCACAATCCCTCCCGCCGCCGCTGCCGCCGATTCTCCCTGCGAATGGCGCTGCCGATCGCCCAAACCCTCATAAACCCTAAATTTGAAAATGGCGCTAAAATCTAAAGCCCTAAAATCTAAAGAGATTGGAACCGGCGACCCATTGACACTTCGTATCTTTTCTTCTTCTTCCCGGGTAAATGTTACACTAGGAAAAAAGAGAGAGAAGCTCTCCTCTCTCTCTTTAGAGCGCTACTCGTCCTCCTCTGGAGCGCTAAAATCCGGTTCCGCCGGCTTGGACAACTTAACCGTCAGCTCCGCCGCCCTGGCCAGCCTCATCCTATGTACACCGCGAAGAGCATTCGCAGCAAATCGAGACGCCAGCAGCGCCGCCCCGATCGACGTCCCGGACGTTCTCGTCCCAGCGATGGCGTCGATGGCAGCCTCCTGGAGGCTCTGATCCACGGTTTCTCGCCGCTCGTGCTCCTTCCTCCGCTGGAAGCGCCTCCACGCCGCCTGGATGTAGAGCACGGCCCAAGTCCGCCACTGCTGGGAGTAGTATCTGAAAGTGTGCTGGAGCTGCTTGCTGTGGAGGCGGCGGAACTGGCCGGCCACGAACTTGAGATCCTCGGCCTTGAGTGAGAAGGCCTCCACTTCCACCAGTGCTCGGACTGTCCGCGTCGAGGATGGGAGGTTCTTGCTTGGTTTGGGATGGAGAGCCCAAGTGAGTAGCTCCTCTCCACAAAAGGCACCGGGCCCGAGCTCTTGGACGTTGTAGAAGCCGGTTCGTCCACCGTTTGTTGTCACGCTCTCGAGGCGTCCCCGGATGATGAAGAGCATCTCGTTCACCGGGTCTCCCTCTCGGACGATGTAGTTGCCTTCGGTGTGGAGTACCGGTTGCAAACGCTCGCAAATAGCTTCTAGTAGCCGCTCGTCCATTTTATCGAACATTGGAACCTGGAGAAAGAAACGTCAAACTCATGGTTTGCCAAACACTGATGGATCATTTTGCTTACTTGTCGAACAAGGTCCAAACAAAGATGGCGCTTGATATCGCGTCGGAGATCCAGAGGTAATGTTTGCACGAGCATTTCCTCGTCAACTCCTCTGGTTGTGACCCACTTGTACTGGTCATAGCGTCGAACTCGATCACGAAGGACGGGAGGGAGTTGCCTGTGACGCATCCACTGCTCGGAATCTCGCCGCTTGAGTCTCATCTCTTCAAGTCTGACGGTTATTGACGCAAGGTAAGTCTGCAATAAGAAAACTTTGTCACTACAAAGTCAGATGTCAAGAGTGCACTTGCCTGCATATTGCCAATGAGAAACGCGAAGAAGATCAAGCCAAGTATACCAATCAGAATGGCAAACAGCGTCTCCTCCACGTAATTGCTTGTTGCAAGGCCTTGACCGAGCGAGCTGCGGTACGGAAAACACAGGAAAGTGAGTCGCGGGACACAATTCAAGACTTTGTAGCTTACCTCAAATTGCGAAGACCCCACCAGAGGCAATAAAAGTACTGGTTGACGAAGTCTAGTCCAGTAGAGATGATTCCATTGTCAAGAGCGTCCTTGTAAATCCCGTAGGAAAACGTAGAGTTTGTGGAACAGCTCGCTTGCACTGCATTTAACCATTCCGTTCGCGCGGAGTTGTCTATATCAACACCACAGTCGAAGAAGTCACTGTTGCAACTGTTGGAACAATTTCTCCTCCAGCACCGGTCTTGAGCTTGGGTCGACAGCAAATACCACCACGCTCCAAGCACCTATAAAGTCACACAGGTTGACAATTCCTTCCAGTTTAGACGATTAAAACAGTGAGTAAGACAACGCACTTACGTGACTAGCCAGAATATAAAGGAGGAGATTAAACGCGGCACCAGCCCAGGCTGTTTCCAGCAGGATCCCAGTCGTGCTTTGCTTCTGCGTTGTCAAAGGGATGATCCGGAGCAGCCTTGGAAAGTATTGGACGAGCACTATGTATCTCAGCGTGTTCATGGTCTTGTTCGCGGTAAGGTGAGAATTCCCCCAGATGAGAATCTGGAACCAAGCAAGGATACATGTAAGCTCAGTGAAAACAAGAAAGAAAGAAACCAACAAGAGCAAAACATACAGTACCTGTGGGAGAGGAAGGACGGACAAGATGTCCATGACAAAATCCTTGAACAAGTAACGTTTGGCGATTTGCCAGGAGTCGACGACGAGCTCGCCTCGGCCAAAAACTCGCGACGATGGAGCAATGAATGCCGTCCGGAACCGAAGAAGCATGTGAAAGAGGTAGGAGCAGTCGATGATCGTGCGAAGAACAGTGACGACAACTTTGAGGCTGTTCCGGAGCTGCGAGCAATTCCTCGTCTGGTTGATCACTGGGAGGTAGAAGAATAATGGGTCGATGAAGGCCGCGAGCAAGCACGAGAGTATGAAGAAGTTGTTCCATTGCTGTATGAATCGGCTTCTCGGATCAAAGATCCTGGTCTCGGAGAGCTCGTGATCCTCGGAGAAGACCCTGGCCCCAAAATTTAGAGACCTCCCAAACCTCTGTAAGCTGCCCAGCCCCGAGAACCATCTGCTTCCGTGCTTGATGCCATGGACATCGCCACTGCCCGGCTTAATCGTCTCAAAAGCAAATGTGTGAGGAACCTCGGCATCAAAGTCGAGGTAATCGCTCTCAAACCTGCGAGAAAAATCCACCGCCGCGACTAAGCACTCCACAACACCGCTAAAGAAGAGCGAGCATTCCATACCTCACGAATTTCTTGACCCGGCCTTCCATTTTCTGCGTCTTGACGCGCCCAAACTCCCGCATCGCCGTGGTGATTCAATCCCCGCCTCGCTCCACGCCTAGAGAATGCGCGCTTACGACCAATCCTGCGAGCCCCCGCGCACCCTAGCTAGCGCGCCACATTAGGGCTGAATTCGTCGCGCCCTCCATAGCTCGCCCGCCAGGCTATTAGCTTCGCCTTGGAACGGGTCTTTCATGCAAATGCTAAAACCAGTCCTGGGTTCGAATCCATTGTCCACAAAAAGTTTAGACTAGTCAAATAAAGTCAGCGCCCTTTGACCTTAACAGTCAACGAAGTATTTTTAACCAAAGGAAATTTTAGGGCATGTGGGGGCGATCGAACGCGCGACTTGGGGCGTCCAAAGAGGGGCCTTTAGCAAGCGCGCTAGCATAATCCTAGTTGTGAGACAAGGAAATTTTGGGAGAGAGGAGCGAGGGTTTTCTTCTCCGCGAGAGACGCGCGATGGTGTGGTGTAGCTACTGTGGCAAGGACCAGATTGCCGAGCACAACGATGGATTCATGTAAGTCCTCGCCAATGCTCTCGCTCGGACTGCGCGGTTTCTTGATCCGCAAGAAAATCTTTCTATCTCCTAATTTCCATCACTGTGTAGATGCTGTACTGGGTGTGGGAGAGTACTCGATGACAATGTCTTCTCCTCCGAGCCGACCTTCGCGAAATCGGCGTCTGGACAGGTACTAAATCGTGATTTTCACGTAGATTTCGTTTCTCTTTGGTTTGCTCGAGATAAAGCTAGAAAACTTTGCTTTGATAGATAACAAGTTTTCTTTCTTTCCTTTGATAACTATCGTACGTTCTCTCGCTTGCGCAGAGCCAATTCGTTGGGAACATTGTGAAGCAATCACAGTATGGAACTTACGCCCGCATCGTCGACGATGGCACCGGGACCGTCTCGGGCTACCAGTCGAATTCTCATCAGAGAACGCTGGACAAAGGCAGGCAGGAGATTCGAAACATAGCGAGCTCGCTCTCAGTTGGCGGTGGCGATGATATCGTTGGTTCTGCGCATAGGATTTATGTCGTAAGTTTCTTTGTTTCCTTTTCTTTGCTCTTTTTTCCTGGCATAACACTCTACATAGTTAGCCGTGGAGAAAAACTTTACGAAAGGAAGGAGGACATCTCAAGTTGCCGCAGCATGCCTCTACATTGTTTGCAGGTAGAGTTTTCCTCGTATACGAACTTAAGCTTTGGCGCTTGTAGACAGGGAAATAAACCATATCTGCTGATTGATTTCTCGGACTGCCTACAAACCAGTGTGTAAGTTGTGGTCGATTTTCGTGTGACTTCCCTAACGCTCAGACCTTGCATCTCTGCAGATATTTGCTAGGAGCAGTTTTTCTCCAACTATGTACCCTATTGAGATTAGATCAGCATCCAATGGTTCAAAAGCCTGTGGATCCAAGTCTGTTTATCCATCGTTTCACGGACCGTGAGTATTGTTTTCTTTGTCTTGATGCTCATCTGATGTTACTCTTCAAAACCGCAGGACTTCTACACAGAATAGCACCAGGGACTTCCTCCAAAAATCAATTTGCCATTGCAAATACTGCACTTAGGATAGTAGCTAGCATGAAGCAAGATTGGATTCAGGTTTGTATCTCTGCTTTTGAGATACTGACCCCCGACGTAATCTGGATCTTAGACGGGTAGGAGACCCAGCGGGATCTGTGGAGCTGCTTTACTTTTATCAACTCGAATTCATGGTCTGGAATGCTCGACAGCGGATGTGGTAAATATCAGATGTTGTTTTTCTTTCTTTGTGTAACGTTTTTTCTACTTCAGGAAAGCGTCGTTTACGTTTGCAAGGCTACGATAACCAAGCGGCTTGTAGAGTTTAGCAACACAGAAGCTGGTAGCCTAACTGTGAGAATCTTTTTATTTTTTGCTGTTAACTTTGTTATTAAAGACAAAGAACTTATATTTTGCAGCCAGAAGAATTTGAAGCGAAGGCTAAACAACGAGAGAAAGAGATGCTGTCCGTTTCTCAGACCGATATTGTAAATAACGGGGTTATCAAGGAAATTCTTTGCGAGCACAAGGACTCGGGAGCTCAACACTACGCGCATGGACTCTGTAAAAACTGCTATGACGATGTAAGCGTGGTCTACCATGAATGATTGACATCTCTCTTTTCTTGTCTCTATTAGTTCGTCAAGATTTCTGGTGGATTACAAGGAGGATCTGCACCCCCGGCCTTTCAAAGGGCCCAGAAAGAGCGCGAGAGACTATTGAAGAACAAAAAGAGAAAGCTGACCGCTGAGGTGAGCATAATAGAACGTGTTGCCGTCCTTACCTCTTTTCATTTTGTCCAGGCCATCTCAGACGAGGACGAAGATTTGACATGCACAAACAGCTCTCCAGTCGCTGAAAAAGCTATCAAGAAAAAGCTGGAACAAGAGGAACACAGTTACTTTGACGCTGACGATGTGACCGAGAGTTGTGTCACACACGAAACGAAGGCCGAAAAGCGATACGAAGACAGTGTGGACGACGAACCGGAGTCACTTTCTGATATCGATGACGTTGAGGCACGCAGTTTCTCTCTTCAATTAATTCAGACCCGCCATAAACGTTTCTTTTCTGCAGCTAACTACTTATCTCAACACAGAAGACGAAATCAGACTGAAAACCATTGTCTGGACGGAGATGAACAAAGAATACATCCAGGTAGGAAGGCTTGTATGCAAAACGTGGAAGTTTCATGCGTGATGGTTATATTTCAGGAGCAAGAAGCCAAGGAGGCAGCACTCAAGGCGCAAGCTGAGTCCATGGCTGCCGTGTCGACGTCAGGAACTGCTGCAGAGATTGCCGCAGCTACAGTAGTGATGTCCAGAAAGGTAACGTCACTGCTTTTCATTTCGTCAGTCGGTCGTGATCTTCTTCCTCATTTATCCAGGCTAGAAAACACAAGCATGGTGATACTGCAAACTGCAAGCCCGCGGAATCAGCAGCCGAGGCAACCAGACAAATGCTAGAGAAAAAGGTAAGCTGGTGCGTCATAGAAAGGAGAGCTGTTTAACCGAACTGTATTGGCAGAGACTGAGCTCCAAGCTCAACTATAGTGTGCTGGAGAAGATGTTTAACGGCAAGGTACGCCATATGTTTGCCTAGTCGCTCACTCTCACTACCTGTATGGATGCTACACAGGAGGATTCGCCATCAAAATGGGTCGAAGAGCCTCCGGGAAAGACCGAGCCAGCCGACACCAAAGTCCCACCGGAAGAAGAACACGATCGGGAAGGAAACGAAAACGAAAACGAGCACGAAAACGAGAACGAAGCCGAGCTGGAGAACGATATCCCGAGCTATAGCTACATTTACGAACAGGCCGTGGAAGAGGACTACGAAGAGTACTAGACAAACAATGAAACAAAATTTTGGTAGGAGCGAGCGAGCGAGCGAGGTAAGAAGAAAGAAGCAAGGTAAAAGACCAAAAGAAAGTTCTTGCTTTGCTTTCTTCCTTCCATGTATCTAATCAAAACACGTCGAATGAATTGGATTCAGTCTCTACGAGCTGCTGGACCTTTTGCAACTCCTCCTCGCTCTCAAAATTCTTGACGACGACGACGACTTTGCCACCGTCCTCGCCGCCGCCACCGTCACCCTCGCTCGTGACTTCAAACACCAGTCCCACCGCAGCTTTCGAGTCGAGAAGCTCCAAAGTCTTGGCTCCAATCTCCTCCCGAGCACCGTCAGAGGCCAGCAGCGTCGAAGTTCGCAACACCACAACGCCATCTTCCTCCTCCTCGTCACCACACTCTTCGAGCAACCGAGGAGGAGGAAGATCGCAACTTCCAGCTCGGGGAAGCCTCTCCTCGGCAGCGTACTTATCATACGACGAGCAAATCTCCACGTCTTGCAAGGCCGGAGGACAAGCTTGCGCCAGCATCCCCTCCTGGAGCTGCTTCACTGCTTGGAGCTTCTTCTTCCTGGCTAGCAGCTCCTGGCTGTGGTGATTGTCGTCAATGCCAACCTCTCTAAACTTCCTGCCTCGCTCGATCTCCTCGAGCGAGAAAGGTGGTGGAACCACCGGCGGCCGCGCTACCAGCTCCACCTCGCTCCATCTCACTCCCTGGAAGAAGGCGTGGTTTCTCACTTCCAACGCTCCCTGCCTGGATCCCAGCCTTTGCTCCGGGTCCTTGACGAGCAGCCCGGCGATGAGATCCTTGAGCGGCGTCGGAGGGCCTGGAAGCTCCACCTCCTTGCAAAGGATGTTGTAGAACGTATCCTTCCTCCTCGAGCCTTTGAATGGAGTCTTGGCGTAGACGAGCTCGTAGAGGAAGACTCCAAACGTCCACCAGTCCACCGGCAGTCCATGGCCGGATCCCCACACCACCTCGGGAGCGACGTACTCCTCGGTGCCAACGAAGGAATTGGATCGGCAATCCGAGGAGGAGCCGCAGCTCCTGGGGAAGATTCTAGCCACGGCCTTCTTGCAGCTTTTGCTCGTATTCTTCCTCCTCTGGGTGATGATCCTCGGGAGCTCGAAGTGGAGTCCACAAGAGAGCCGCCTCGGCTTGCTCGGCTTCTTCTTCTTGTCCGTAAAGAGAGGTGACGAGGAGGAGGAGGACGTCTTCTTCTTGGTGGCGAGGTTGAGCGAGAGATCAAAGTCTGTGAGCATTACGTGACCGTTCTCCTTGATGAGGATGTTCTCGGGCTTGAGGTCCCGGTAGATGATGCCGTGTTCGTGGAGATACTCGAGAGCTAGCAAAACCTCGGCAGCATAGAACCTGTCAGTACACACGCGATCAGTCTGAACGCAAGGCAGTCCCCAACACGGAGTCAGTTTTTGCAAGCGAATCGAATACCCAAAGTTTTTCGACACGAGTTCTATCACGAAAGCAAACTCATCACAGTTCTTCCAAGCAAGCAAAGTTCTTCCAAAGAACGAGAGAGCACGCCTCCAAGCAAAGTTTTGTTTTTTCTTACCTGGTAGCGCTCTCCGAGAACCGCTTGTCCGGCTGCTTCTGCCGTAACACGTTGAGATCTCCTCCACAGCAGTAGTCCGTCACGAGGAACGTGTGCTTGTCCGTCTCAAAGTGAGCTAGCAGCCGAGGAAGAAACGGATGATCCAAGGCCTTGAGTATCTCCTTCTCAGTCTGGGCCCTGTGGAAGTTCTCCCTCGCCGCCAATACCTCCTTCTTCATCACCTTCATGGCATACGGCGAGTTGTCCCCGCGGAGAGCCACCAAGAACACGGTCCCCATGTCACCATGCCCGATCGACTTGATGATCCGGAAGTCCCCCTGGCTGTAGCATCGAGCGGGCTTGCAACTGCCGGCGGTGGAAGTGATGCATCGCAGCAGCGAAGAAGTTTGCTGGACGCAACCATCCTCTTCTCCTCCTCTTTCTTCTGCTGCTACTGCGTGTGGAGGCATGCTGCGATCTTCTTCCTCTTTCTTCTTGCCGTTGTCGAGCTTGAAGATCTTTGCAAAAGCTCTCACCACCGCATCGCCACCTCCGCCTCCATCCCCGCCGGTGACGAAGAGAGGACCCAGCTTGGAATGTAAGTCACTGGCCTTGGGCGATGGCCTGGAGTCGTCAGTCCATCGCCGGGCGCTAGCCCCTCCTCCCGCGATCCATCACCACTGTGACTTGATAGCGTGATCTTTCATCCGGGGAGCGGCGGCGGCGGCGGCGCGCGTTCGTTGCACGCTTGCGGTGAACCGCCATCTTCAATGGTCGTGCCAAGTCAGCCCTTCTATCAAACTATGACTTGGAAAAGAAAGAAAGAGTGGTCGATACTTCAAGCAAGAAAAAAAAGAACGATCACGTACTAGGCATGATGGTAGCTCGGAGCTGATGTCTCCACCGCCACCAAATTTACTCTTTCTTTTCATCTCAGTCCTTGAAAGGCAAGACATGGAGGCCTTGCTCGAGCATGAGAGCATGTTCTTCCACCACGGCCGCCAGCGGCATCGGTGTAAAGTTTCCAGCAGGACCGTAGAAATGTGGAAAGAACACGCCAGGCTCGGCCTCATCGTATTTTACCACTCCATCATCGGCCAACTGAAGAAGAAACATTAGCTACATTGGATCAAAATAGTAGTTTAAAAGCAAACTTTGGGCTATGGCTACCTTGTGAGGGTCGACAACCAGGAGCACTAGATCGTCTCTACCAGCGAAGAAGAGAGCCAGGACTCCCGCAACCTGGAAACTTAATTAAGCCGTTACTCAAGAGCTAGAATCAGAAGTAGAAAACTTGTACCTGAGACTTGGTACTAAGATGGATGAAACCCGATTTCTTGTCAAGAGTGTTGCCTCGCAGTAGCCCATCAAGCTTGGCCTCGTTGAGCTCCTCTCGGGAGCAAACCCTGTAAAGGAAGCGCTCGCCCATGGCTAAAAAGAATTTGCTATTTGCTTAGAACAAAAAGATTCTAAGTCAGTCAGTCTATAGACTATGTTTCCATGTGTTTCGGAAACACACATGCTTCTTTCCTAGCCTGTGTGATGCATATGCTGACTGCATCAAGATGAATTCTAATCAAAGCTTTACCTCGTTGAGGCTATGACGTGAACAAACGAGGAACTTGGTTTCGGATTCTGCTAGATCGCCTCACGGGTGTGAGTTTTACCTCCTCTTTCTCGGATCCCTGGAAAGTTTTCAGTAGAGAACTTGAGGATGCGAGCGAGATAAGTATAATCAGCAAACGTACCTCGTTGTAAACAACGCGCTTGTAAGCAGTAAAACTCCCGTATGGCGAGTAGCCTCCAGTCTCCTGCTCCGGCGTCAGTATAAGCTCTTCGTCAGCTCCTCTCATCCGCATTATGTCTTGAACTGATAGCTCGCAAGCCGGGCTTGAGAACTCTTCCACTGGTGGTTTCTCCGGAACTTTCGCAGGCGATTGGAGACGGTAGGAAACAGCCAAGCCCAGAACCGCGACGATTAAAACTGCTCCAAGATAAGGCTTGTTGTTGTTGTCATGCTGCTCTTTGAAGTAGTTTTCTCCAGCATTGGGAATTTCCAACTCCGTATCAGCTTCGTTGATCATGTCTTGCTTCACCGCTGCGTTTGGCATCGACGCTGAGTTCACTGGAGAACGATGCTCTGGTAACCGACACACCGAAATGGTGTCTCCTATCCAGTCAATGGCTTTAGAAACCTCATCACTTTCGAACACCGGATCTGTTTCCGCTACGTGAGTGTTACCGTCTGCCTCTTCGTTAAGCTTCTCGAAATATGGAACGTCGCGATGAGCAGCGGAAATAGACGGGGATGGAAGACGAAGATAGCGGTGAATCAAAGCCTCATTTGCATAGCTTTCGACCGAAGTAAACCACTGCCGCGCCTTGGAGAAGATATCTTCGAAACTCCATCCTGTGAGCACATCTCTGGCTGTGCTCTCCAGCGGTATGGCTTGTTCAATAAGCGATACTGTCGCAACCCTCAAGCGGTAGTACTGTCCTTGAAACTCGCGGCAGGAGTTGAAGAGAACGTCCTTTGCATGGTTGCCAAGAACCAAGCTCGAGTAGTAGCTGGTGATGATCCTCACGGAATTGAAGCCCAGTCCTTCCGCGAGCTTGCCGGAAGACTTCTCGTAAAGCTCCAAAAGCTGGCGTTTTGCTACTGAGCAGTGTTCCAGCAATGTCGCAGGATTAACATAAAGCCCGACCGTGTCTGCCTCGGAGCTCCACTCTATCTCGCCAGGAACCACGCAAAATTCTGATCGTCTGCTCCAGAGTTCATGAAGAATCTGCCTTGGTGGAGCTGCCAGTGCCGAGATGTACAACAAAAGAACCAGGAATCCCAGAGCCCCGCTCCACTTGATACTTCTCGAGATCTTTTGCCTTCCACAATGAACGTCAGAAACTGTCTTGGTTTCTTCCACCACCACCGCTGCTACGTTGCTTTCGATTGAAGTTACTGCCGCAAGAGCTTCCTCAGCAGCATGAACGATCCCATCATCCAGCTCCACTTTCTCGAAAATCATCGAGGAAACAATCGCCAAATCTTCCTCTTCGATCGTGCCGTGGCTGCTGCTCCCCGAGGACGAATGCTGAGGAGATTGATGTTCTCCAGGAGTTTCTACGCCACCAAAAAGATTCCTGGCCAAATCCTTTGAGTCCGCCACCTCTCGATGATGAGTTGTGGAACGCTCCTGGACCCATCCAGCCACTGGCTCTGGCTCTCCCAGCACCTCTACGTTCACCGGAAACGTCGAGACTTGATCCACAGCACACGCAGCATCGGCCGGAGACTCCATCCCACTCAAGCTCTCTTTGAGCTCTATCCCCGAAGAACTTGGAATCTGCCATTCCTTGCGGCACCTCTTCGAAGAAACCACCGCAGCGTCGACGACGTTGTGTTCTCCAAGAATTTTCTTTGGCGAGGCTGGTTTCGCAAGAGCTCTCTGTTTGTTCGAAGAAGCCGGAGAAGAAGGGATCTTACAAGGAGGACCATTTTCCTTGAGGTGCTGGTGGTCTGGCGTCTTTGGCACCGGCAAGGGCAATCCCCTCCTCACTGCCAGGAATTTCATCCAGCGATTAGGCCATAGTTTCGCAACGCTATGCTAGATTGGAGAGCTAGAAGAAATCTCTCACCTGGAGGGCGCATTGGAGAGCTCGTGAACACTGGACTGCTGCATTTTCGCGCAAATCCTCCCCCCTCCTGCCGCGGCACGACCTGGCAAGGGCTCTTTTTGGGAGCGACCGGCGACCTGGTAAACTTGGAGCGATCTGGCTTGCAAGAAAACGCCATAGCGAGCGCGCAGCGAGAAATCTATACAAACTACCTCTCGATCGCTACTACTACGATCTCGTAAGAACCCTAGGTACATCCGCCCAAACGGTCCCAAAGTTTTTTAAACTTCCAACGGTCACTGGCCCAAACATGACCCATTCGTACAGAGAATCATTTTGAGCATCTAGGGTTCTTCGAATTTTTGGGCTTGGTGGCATAGATCTGTGCGAGCAAGACATGGGCGGTTCCGGGGTCTAGATCGAGCAATTCTTTTGCGACGCGCTCCCCGCGATCGAGGTCTCGGTGGATCCGGCACGCGCCCATGAGCGCACCCCAGGCCATCAAATCCGGCTCGAATGGCATGCTGTGGATGAGATCATCGGCCTGATCGAGATGCCCCATTCTTCCGAGCAGATCCAGCACGCAGCAAAACTGCTCCTTGCGAGGACGGAGCCCAAAATCGTAGCTCATCGACACGAAGTAGCTCCAGCCCAGATCGATGTGGTCGCACGCGATCAAAGCGCCAGTGAAAGCGATCTCGTCGGGATGGATTCCATCCAAGATCATCGCCCAAAAGAGCTCCAGCGCGTGCCCGCCATTGCCGCCATTGGCATTTGCTACGATTAGAGTAGTCCAGGTGACCAAATTCCTCTCGCTCATCGCATCAAACAACGCCATCGCTCGATCGAGATTACCATTTTGGACAAACGCCACCACGGTCGCTGTTCTTGACACAACGTTGTGACCCGGCATATTCCAGACGGTAGTAAGAAATTCCTGCATATGCCCTTTTTGGGCATATGCTGTGAAGAGAACAGTCCAGCATACAATGTCGTGTTCGGGCATAGAATCTAGCATATACTTTGCCTCCTCTAGATACCCACACAAAGAATATGCTTGAATTATTCCTGTCCATGACACCAAATTCCTGGCCTCCATGGTGTCAAATAAGACTTTGGATTCCTCCAAATATCCTTCTTGGGCATATGCACGAAGTATAACAGTTTGAGAGACTACGTCATGCTTTGGCATGGAGTCGAAAACTATTTTAGCGTCTTCCAACTCAAAATTCTCCACGTAACCTTGCAACAGCAGTGTCCATGAAGCGAGAACTCTCTCCGGGATGGAATCGAAGAACTTACGGGCAAGGACGAGGCACCCATTCTCAGCCAGTGCCTTGATCATCGCGTTCTTGGTCACAATATCGTGCCAGGGCATTTGGTTGAACAGATCTGTGGCTTGGGCGAGGAGTGAGTTCTCCGCAAGCGCAGTGATGAGCGCATTGGACGAAGAGAGGCACCACTCGGGCATCTGATTGTAAAGAGTTCTTGCGTGTTCCAAATTTTCTCTCTGGGCATTTGCTGTCACAAGGATGTTCCACGAGATCACGCTCCAAGCCGGCATCTGATTGAAAATCCTTTTAACCTCGGACAAGTTTCCGTGCTCGCTAACACAGTGCATCATAGAGTTCCAGGAGATTACGTTTTTCTCTGGCATGGAATTAAAGAGGAGCTTCGCTTTCGACAGATACCCGCTGTGGGCATATGCTGTGAGCATTGAGTTTAAAGAGACCAGCGTCACAAACTCCATGGAAACAAAAATCTCCTCAGCTCTACCAACTTTCCCCTGCTGGCCAAATGCCGCAATCGCGATGTTAAACGAGACGGTGTTCTTGGCAGGCATTGTTTCGAACACACTAATCGCTCTTTCAAAATCCCCTGTCTGGGCAAATGCTGCAATGATATGTGTCCAGGAGAAGAAATTGCGCTGCTCAAGGCCCTGGAACACAAGCCAGGCATCGTCGACGCTGCCACACCTGGTGTACATCTGGATAACAAGATTCGACAGGAAAACATTGCTCTTGAGCCCATTCGTGAGAATTCTTGCATGGATTTGCCTTGCTCGGTCAAGGCGCTTGCATTCCCTGATCTGTGAAGCTAGACTCGTGAAGCTCAAATCGCGAGATTGGATGACACCAATGGACGACATTGGTTTGAAGAGTCCATAAGGAGAAGTCAAAAAAAGGTCAAATAGGAATTAGGGTTCTTGAGGATCTATAAGGACTGTGAGAGATTAGGGTTTTTGTATCGAGGAGGAATGAGGCAAGTTCGCGAGTGGCTCTACATTGGCAACGCTGACGACGCGGGTAGTTTCGTCTCTGGGTCTCGGCATGGATTCACCCACATCCTCACTCTAGCTCCAGTTTGCTTGGGCGATGGCTGCAACTTCATCAAAGTCGTGCCCGAGTATCGCATGGAAGAGTTCGATCGTGTAGCCCGGCAGCTCCAGGAGAAGTGCCCCGGCTTTGCTGGCACTCAGCCAGTGCGCAAGATCGTCCCGTTGGTGGACGAGGAGAGCCAGGACATAGCCCAGGTGCTGCGAGAGTGCCTGGGTTTCATTGATCGAGGGGTGGAGGAGGGGATTGTTCTCGTCCACTGCATTGGCGGCTTCTCTCGCAGCGCGTCGGTGGTGACGGCGTATTTGATGTGGAAGGAGGGGCTGGGCATGGACGAGGCGCTCGAGTCCCTGAGGAGATGCAAGGAGGGGATTCGCCCAAACGCGGGATTTATCAAGCAGCTGCGAGAATTCGAGCAAAGAGGTGACGAGTTTGATGTGTCGCAAGATCGTGAGACCGAGCACAAAGCTATGGAGTATCGATGTAAACTGTGCAAGAGAGAAATGGTTGTATGATTGAAACTTTCAATATAGAGTAGTGGATCAAGGCTCTAGAGATAGAGAAGCTCCTTTAGACGAGCGCGGGAAACCTCCATGGCCTCCATGGCCTTGGATTTGATTACCTTTGCTCGTTTTCTCAGCGATTCACTGCCCATCAAACTCCTGGCGGCTCGCTCGACTTCGCTCCTTCCAACAATCCTGGAGCTTCCATCGCTGCTGTTCTTGCTCTCGATCCTCACCCCGACTCTCCACACGTCCACCATGAACTTACAGTTGATGGGCTGGTCGCCCATGAACGGCCACCCGATCATCGGGACCCCGGAGCTCAAGCTCTCGAGCGTCGAGTTCCAGCCGCAGTGCGTGACAAATCCTCCCACGCTCGGGTGCCTGAGAATATCAATCTGCGAGCTCCATGACACGATCAACCCCCGGTTTCCAATCCTCGTCCGCAAGCCCTGGAGGAAATACCCGAGCTTTCGCTGGGAGCTCTCACGTAGGACCCAGAGAAAGCTCTGGTGACTTGCCTCCAAGCCATAGCCGACCTCCATGACTTGTTCTTCCGGGAGCTCCACCATTGTTCCAAAGCACACGTACAACACGGACGAAACCTCTTGTGCGTCGAGCCATTCTTTTTGGACGTGATCTTCCATGCTTGATACCGCCCCGACGAGCATTGGCCCAACGTTGACAAGCTTGCCAAACCCCTGGTCCCTCAAATCACCCAAAGTTTGCTCCTCCAACTCGTCCAGAGTATTCATGATCAGCCATGGAGCCTTGAGCAGGTTCTTGAGCTTTCTCATCGAGCTAAAGCTCACTGGATCCAGAGGGTCCTCGGGGATGTCCGTGAAAACCGAGAGCTCGCAAGGAACGCCTGGTATCACGGACGAATCCACCACTTTCTTCTCGGGCGATCGATCGTTCCTGGAGAGCGGAAGGAATCCTTTCTCCAGGAGCGTCTCGACGTTGACAGTGATGTGGAGCATGGCCGCCGACGACACCCAAAACGCAGCAACGTTGCAAGCTAAGCTCTCGAGACGGTCGATAAGCAGGAAGTCGATGATGGCCAGGGAAACCGGCCCGAGCTCTGGAGCAGAAGCCGCGACCAGCTTCTTAATCTCGTCCGAGTTCCTGGCCATGACCTCGATGCTCTCAGAGAGCGTATAGCCGCTGCGATCTCTATCGACTTCCAGAGCCTGGAATCTAATGGCTTGCCTCAATTTTTGGTCGCCGTCGCAGAGATGGTTGAGGGCCGAGAGTGATGCTTGGAGAGTGCTGCTCGTTGTGATGAATGTGATATCGGATCCAAGGGACGCTAGCTGCACAGAGAGCTGGAGCAACGGATTAGTGTGGCCAGAGATTGGAAGAGGAATCACCACAACATGAGGCGGATTGCTTCGGGACGCCATAGCTGACAAGCTCTCTCGGCTTGAGACTTATACAAGAGAAGATTCTCAAAGTTATGCGTTAGGTAAGTTGATGACACCCCAACCGTCTAGCCGAGCGAATCTCGATCACATATGGAGACGTGGCACCCACAAGACGGGTGGGAGCGCGCCCGCAACGAGGACGCCACCAACGCGACAAAGATAATCCAACTTGCAAGAACTCGCTTACTCCATTTTGATACTTTTATTTTAGAGCTCTAAGTAAAACTGTGTGGAGGGGCGCCACCATCGCAGCAGAGAAAGATTTGGAGTTTGTGCGCTACAAGGATTTGCCACTGGAGCCTCCGGCGAGAGGAGCTTGTCGACTTCTCCCCAAAGCTTAAGGCGCTGGGCGGTGCCGTGACGGCGCTCTGGTGGCACCGCCGGGTGACGTGCGTCATCACGACGTTCTTGTGGGCTGGGACGGAGAAGTCGCTTGGGTGTGCCGAGGGTCGTGTTTTGGACGTCCACCATGACCGAGTGCCGTGTATAGTAACTTATCGGAGCTCGGACTTTGCCAGTACGCGATCAGCTTGGGCTCTATGCCACAGTCTCGAGAATAACCTTGCCGCGGAAGTTTGGATCTGTGGCATGAAGTAGCGTCGTGAAGTCCAAGGCCTTGAGGTCCGGAAGTCCTGGAATCTTCACCGTGGTTCCGAAGTTATCTTCACCATGGTTCCGAGATCTAGCAATCCAAGTTATCTTCACCGTGGTTCCGAGATCTAGCAATCCAAGTTTTCTAAGATCACAAAGAAAAAGTTTGGAATTCGCGTACCTTTGATCGCATTCTCGGAGATGACTCCCTGGAAGGCAATGCGGTGAGAGCTCTTGAGCTATGAGGAATCAAAATCGGTCCTCTCTATCTGAACATCTCCACCGGGGACGACGATCCAGACGATCCAAACCAGGTATTCCATGGCTGACAAACAGGAGCCTCGATCGGTTCTCTATATTCCAGTCCCGGCAGTCGAATTCAAGCAGATAGCCCTGGAGGATGCATTCGCAGGCTCTTTCTGGCAACCGCGGGGAAGTAGGGAAATGTCGCCCTCGCTCACCAGAGCGCTGCCGGCAGGGATCACTTCGTCCAATTCCCTCTGGTCTTTTGCCAAGATAAGAGCGTCCAGCCCCGGACTCACGTAGGAGCAAGAACAAAAGAGAGCAAACCGGTCAACACTCTAGTCAACACATAAGTTAACGCCCAGACTTACCAGCATGGTTCCGGCATGTTCTCGAGCGAGAGCAGGAAGCTCTGGCTTTGTTCTTGCTTGGCCATGGAAGATCGGTGCACGTCCATGTGCGCTTGGAGCAAGGCGTGCACACTGTCCTCAGCTTGGGCAGCGAGAGATCCATTTGATCCATGGGAAGCAATCGCCGATGTGGAGGCCCTCGCTGAGCTTATTCGCGCTGGATCAAGCGGATGAAATCGTCCACATCGAAGCTTCGGCTCGTCCCAAACACGAGCACTTGCATGATCCCGAGGACAGTCAGCTCCTGGCTCATGTTCACTGACATGCTCGTCCAAGTTCCTGGCCATGATCTCGATGACGCTGCGGTTTCTATCAACTTCCAGAGCCTAAAATCTAATGGCTTGCTTTGGTCGCCATGAGGGCCAAGAGTGAGTGATGACCATAGCTGACTTTACAACAAGAGAATATTCTTAAACTTATGCGTAAGCATGAGGACCAAAATGTCTCCCGGTGCTGCTGTTGGTGTGTGTGTGTCTACTGCTCCTCAACTAACTCTCCCCGTGTTCACCCAACTCCCAATGTGAAGTGAATCTTAACATATGAAGACATATAATCTTAACAACTCACAACACACTTGAAACTTTACATTCATGCTTCAAAGTTAGGCATCGCAAAACCATAAACAACATATATAGATAAAATGTTTGAGAGACCATTAAGTGATAAGTATTACAAGAGAAGCATAGCTTGGGGTGTGTAAATTATGAAGCATGAAATAGCTTTGAGCTTGAAGGTTGTGTGGAGCGTATCAGAAAATTCATAAACTATGTGTTGTAACAAAAAAAATGTATTATTAAGTTTATGAGCATATCATAGCATATTTCTTGGTCACCTACTCTTTATGATCCTTTTCTTTTGCTGAGTTCATCACACTTTTTCCAGAGCTCTAAGTAGAACTTCAAATCATAGTGGTCAATTCGTTGTGTTTTCAAGAAAGAATCAAGAGTAAAGAAAGAAAGTAAACAACAGTCACTAGAATTCGTGGGCTTGCTAGTTTACTGCCACGTATGAGAGCATTTGAGCGAACAACGAGTGACACGACGGACAAATAAAAGACAAGGAGGAACGAGCTCAGCTATGCTGGAGCAGAAAACCATTAGAAAAGGAAAACTTTGAATTCTTCTCGGAGCTATGGAGGAAGAACACTTGGATCACATACACATTCTCGCAGTGCCATTCTTCCTCAAGGGCCATGAGATCCCTCTCCTCCATCTCTGTCGCCATCTCCACTCTCTCACTGGCGGCCGGATCGCCGTCACGATCCTCCAGCTCCCGCAAAACAAGTCGCCACTCTCTGGAGGGGCGCCACGATCGCAGCCAGAGAAAGGTTTGGAGTTTGTGCGCTACGAGAATTTGCCGCTGGAGCCTCCGGCTGAGAGGAGCTTGCAGCTCTTCCTCGACTTCTTCCCAAAGTTTAAGGCGTTGGGCGGTGCGGTGTCGGCGCTCTGGCGGCACCGCCGGGTGACGTGCGTCATCACCGACGTTCTCGTGGGCTGGGGCGGAGAAGTTGCCCGTGACTTGGGCGTGCCATGGGTCGCGTTTTGGACGTCCACCGTGACCGAGCTTACCGTGTATAGTAACTTACCAAGGCTCATCTCTGAGAATGCGATCAAAGGTACGTGAACGCTAAACCTTTTCTTTGTGATCTTAGAAATGGATTGCTAGATCTCGAAACCACGGTGAAGATTCCAGGACTTCCGGACCTCAAGGCCTTGGACTACACGACGCTACACCATGCCACAGATCCAAACTTCCGCGGCAAGGTTATTCTCGAGACCTTTGTGGAAGCCGTACGGTATAGCACCCAAGCTGATCGGGTACTGGCAAACTCCTCCCACGCCCTGGAAGGCAATGCGGTGAGAGCTCTCGAGCTATGTGGAATCAACATCGTTCCAGTGGGTCCTCTCCATCTAAACATCTCCACCGGGGGCGATCCAAACGATCCAAACCAGGTGATTCCATGGCTGGACAAACAGGAGCCTCGATCGGTGCTCTACATTGCGTTTGGAACGGTCGCTCCAGTCCCGGCAGCCCAATTCGAGCAGATAGCCCTGGCTCTGGAATCTACTAAGAACATCGCTTTCCTATGGGTGGTACGCCCGGAGCAGCTCAAGCTAGTGCCGAAGGAATTCGGCTGTACCGCGCGGTACGCGTTCAAGTCTGGTGATACCGTTAATGGCGGGACGGTATACCGCGGGCTGCTAACCGACTGGGCACCCCAGGTTGCGGTCCTCGGGCACCGTGCAGTGGGCGGTTTCTTGACGCATTGTGGATGGAATTCGATCTTGGAGAGCATCACTGTTGGCGTTCCTGTCATCTCGATGCCTCGAATGGCCGATCAGTGCTTGACGCGCAAGATCTTGGACGAGGAGTGGGGGGTTTCGGTACGATTGGGTAACACGGTTACTGACGTTGTGAGCAAGACCGATTTGGAGGCTGCGATCGAGGAGCTCATGTTTGAAAGGCGGGATGAGCTTGGAAAGAAAGCGAGCGATCTTGGAGAACTCGCTAGACAGGGCATGGAAGAAGGAGGATCTTCTCGATCCGGCATCGATTCCTTGGTCAAAGACCTTTTACTGTGGAAGTAAACGCTAGTAAAAATTTTCTTTATTGAAATTTCTTTATTGGTATTTGAAATTTCTAGAAGTGGAGTACGCGTAGATCGAAGGAGAACGTGGAATTGATGTCCTCCACGATTCGATCGACGAGAGCGTAGCCTTTGGCAAACAAAAACTCGCCAGTGCCAGTAGCGATTGGGAGCTGACCACTGGAATTCGTGACGGCGCTGAGAAACGTGAGGCTACTGCCCTGGAATTCGTCTAGAGTGAGCGTCACAGACACCAGAGATGTGAGGCTATCCATCGACACCACCGTGCTCGTCCCTCGAATCCTTCCTACTTCGCGGGAGTCGCTCGATCGGCTCACAGTCACGGGATCATCCACGACCGCGATGGCTCCGAATGGATTCGCCGGGTTTCCCAGGCTGGGAACTCCAGTGGTGACGAGGAAATCGGTGACATTGAAGAAGTCCTGCCAAAAAAGCCTCTGGTGAAGGGATCTCGCGCTGGAAATCTGGAGAGCGACAAGCGCGATGGCCGAGAGGAAGAGTAATTTGTTAACGCTAGCCATTATGGAGAAATTTTCAAGGAGAAACGAAGTTTTAAACCAAAAGTTTGGTGCCAACCAACCAAAGATCTAGTGCCGTGTTGAGAACAACTATAGAAAAATCTACTTGGTTCTTCCTAGAAGTTCTTCCAAGAAGTTCTTCCATAGAATCTATTGTCCAGTCAATTGCGAAGACAAAATAATCAACGAACTAGAAGTTCTTCCCAGAAGTTACCAGGAGTCAAGAAAACTATGACCCTCCAGTCAAGAAAAGTCAATCGTAGTCAACGAGAAAGTTGGCACGGTAGCCAAGGAGAACATAAATTTAAAGGCTGCCACGCACCAATTTGAAGAAACGGTGGGAGTATCTACACGTCCACAAACATCCATAATGGAACTTCTGGCACTGTGCTTTTTCAGATCCGCCGTGATCCCCGTGACACAGTTTTCTCGCATATAAGTTCATCCATTTAGTCTATCAAGCATTGTCTTGCAAGTCTAGAGCAATGGTGGACGATCAGCAAG